AATACTGTTGTCCTGTGCTCCAGGTGGATCATCTGTGAGCCTAAACTTGTGTGCTGTGGCCCAACAGCTTCTGGTCCATACTCTGCCGCTATCAGGGAGGCTGGAAAGATGGTGGTCCTGCATGAAGGCTTAAGGAGATCTGCAAGCTGCAGGGAGAGGAGTCAGGGAGAGGAGTCATTTGACTTATGTCAGACTTGAAAGGTCTGTTGTCTCTTTCCAAAGATAGGGAAAGGGAAAAAAAAGTGGGGAAATAAATGATATTGCACTGTATGGTCCTCCTCTGATTTGTGTGTTATTTTGTATTCAGTTACCTGTTCAAAGACAGGCAGTGATGGAAAGCTGAGGAAATAAGTTTTCAGCTATTCCAGGACATTCTGATGATAGATAGGGACTTTTGGAAAACCCTAATAACATGATATTTTACTTTTACTTCAGTCTATGTTTCTATTTCCTCCCCTCTGGCCTTTTATAAATTTCAAAGTTACACAACACTTCCCAAGAATGCCCTTCCCTCTGCCTTTTTACTGGCCTTGAACATAAACAGGGAGAGCCTGAAATCTGGTTGTGAAACCTTCACCTTATTTTGACAATAACAGCCTCATCTCCAACACTATTCATTTTACATAGTGAATTAATTTTTTGTTTGTTAATGATGGGTTCTTCTTCCTATTTAAAAGATTTTCTACCTGTGTTTTACACTACTGAAATTCATGTGCTGTGGTTCTCATAATCAGAAATAATGAACCATTAATTTATATTATATTTTCCAAGATTTATTCTATATAACAAGACACTATTGAATTCTCTTTGCATATTTTAATTAAATTTAATCTGTTTGAGTTGCAGTGGTCAAATTTCTGTGTAATGTGAATTAAGTAATGCAACATTTGTTCATTTTTTTCTAAATTGAAAATATTTGAAGACGCAGAGAAGAGAAGCAAAAGTGTATTTATTCTCTGACAAGGTTAAAGCCCAAGAGCAAGTCAAAAACCCCAAAGCCTCACACTGGATCTGTTTATTGAAACATTCAAATAAAATTCATTCTCTCTATGATTTCTTTGTTGAAACTATGGCAGCATATGGGGAAGTAAGATATATTACAATAAAACTGATATAAAACAGTTGAATTCAGAAATAGTGGCAAGAGATAATTTTGGTTCACTATGATTTAATTCAATTAAATGAAACACTGCTAACTGCAGACTAAGAAGAATTACTTGCGCCTGTGCAGGCACACACAAGTATTATTTATTCTCTGCTGCATCTCTCTTTGCAGAAGAAATTACACCAGTAAAAAGTAGGTGCTTGATTCTTTCATAGCACTGTAAAAGTCTATATACCTCACAGACCTCAATGGAAATTTTACGTGAGCAAGCAGAAACATTGAGCTAAGGTGTTGGAGAGTAGACCCTTTAAAACTCAGGAATCTGTCCTTATTTAGTATGCTCTCTTTGAATGTCAGCAGTTTTGGTGCAGGCTTGTGGACTAACTTATCAGATAGTGCCTCAAATGAGGTTGCCACCAGCAGGAAAAATGTAACTGCCAATTTTATTTTTTTCTTCAGAAACAAAACAATCCATCAAAACAAACTGGTCAGTTTGAGCTGCCTGTGCCTTGCCTATCCCAGGCACTGCTTTGAGTCTCTCGAGGAAGAGCAATTACTGATCGCCATCCTCCTCCTCTATCCACCTAAGGTGTTCCCTTCCCTGTACCAGAGCATAATAGCCCAAACCCACAGAGGCACACAGGCATTCAAGGACTGTGAGTTTCAATTGGAACTATGTGCCTAAATGCCTTTGTGCATCTATGCCTACAGGCCATGCTGGCCATGCCCCAAACCCCAGCTCCCAGGCTCACTGCCTAGGAGGAGGCTAATGAAAGGCAGGTGGCACAAGACTGAGCTCCCTCCCAGGGCTATCTGACCCTGCAGCTGTGGGACAGTGAGCTGTGATGGAGATGAGGGCTCATTGTGGCAATGGGAAAAGATTTAGCATGGATATTGAGAGGACCTGCCTCCTTTTTGAAACTCTCCTGTTTCAGCCTGGCTATCCCTTCCTAGCCAGAAGTTCCTCCCATATAAATCACCCTCCCAGTGCTTTACAGGATGGAAATGAAAGGCCACAGGCAACTCCATGAATGCTTGGCATGCCAGCATAGAGTAACAGACAGAGGCTTGGCCAGGATTTTTGTATGGATCCAACAGAAAGAAATTTCTTACTTGATAGGTATGTTTCATTTGACCACGTAAGCTAAAATGTGTGACACTGTCCTACTTGGGTCAGGCACCCGCTGTTCATGCATAAGGACTCCCAGAACGATAGTCCTTACAACCTCACACCTTGTAGCAGACAGGTGTGGTATAAAATGCTTGTTTATGTTTTGTCAATATGTTTCTGTCATGGCATGGTTTAAACATCCAGCTCCTATAACTGTAAGCAAATGGGTGCCTCCAGTCCCAAAGAGTGAGTTGCAATGTAGATCTGGGATAAGATCTTACAGCAAATGAAGAATAACTGTGAGCCAGAAACAAAGGAATAAATTTTTAATAGTCACAATGATTACCCTTACACATCTGCTTGACCACTGTCTATTTACAGGCAGGCTAGCAGAAGAGCATGTACAGTTGAGTTATTCTTAAGAGAAGAGTAAGTCTGGGAATCAAGGGGGAAACCAAAACGTGTGTTGTGATGCAGTAGTAATTTCATCTACCAATGCTTTGGGATTGTTTGATAATGCAGGTAACTGTCTTTGATCACATCGTTGTAACCATCACCTTTAATTTGTAGCACAGAGGTTGCTATCTAGCACCCAGCTAGCCAAATGAAATGTATGGCTTGATTAAGGATCTCTTTTGTCAGTAATTTGTGCCTAATGTTTTTAGCTTTCCCACGGGCTGTTACAGAAAATGGTAAATCTGGTTTAAATGAAACCTGATACTGTTAATGGTTTAATAGCAGCTGCCACAGGGTTATGGCATTTTTCAACAGATGCTTCTGTTTCGTTTTAAGCCTACACTAAGTCCTAGAATATATTTACATAATTAATATAAAGTACACCTACATAATAATGAAAATATTTATAGTTTTAAAAGATTTCCTTAAATGACTTCCTCTGTCTTGCTATTATCTAATTACAATATATAACTTGAAACAGGAAGGCATATTATTAGAAATAATAATTTATATTCACTTCTTCAAAAAAGTTACGGAATGCAGCACAACCATGAACACTTATCGTCTCTTAACATGGCAGTTATTGGTATGGGGAAATCTCTTAGCTTTTTCAGAAAAAGAGAGAAAAATTTGGCTGCACGTGGATTATGCTAATTACCTTGCTGTTCAATAACGTGTATGAAAGAAGTCATGCTTGTATTTAAATATACACATTGAGAAAGAGCTGTGTTGGGGTGTGTACTTACATACAGAAATATTTGAAGCAGTACAGATTTGTGGCCGGTTGTTGACTGCAGAATGTCATCTTGATTGAGGAAATTCCTGCTAATTTAGGAAGACTTAGGCATTTTAGGCTTTTCATAGTTGGTGATTGGTTTGCATTGATGTCTTCTACTCGGAGATCTTATTCCTGAGTTTCAAAAAGTACAGAAGGTATATCCTACCGGACACTCAAAGTCAAAAGATGCCCTTGAATATTGTGGGCTTCTGCAGTTCACAGGGAGGAGAGCAGGAGAAAAGGCTCCTCTTTCTCTGCCTTGGCTGGAAGGTAAGGTAATGTTGAGCAGGCGAGTGTACCAAGATATTTGCTGCTATGAACTGTGAGGACTGAAATGAGAACAATAAAACGTGAAAAACATTCAAACAACAGAACACTGTCTTTATAAAGAAGATTTAAGATTTAAACCTTAAATTTAAATTGGATTTAAGAGATTGGATTTAAGAGATTAGGCAGTCCCAGTTCTCTCAGGAGAATGTGTAGAAATAGTGGCAAAGCAGATGTTTCGCTGTCTGAGAGGCATAGCTGATGTATTTGCTCCCCTTGTCTCCAGGTGACTACCCTTCATAGCTGTTAGCCTGGGTATGATGGTAGTCATCTTCCGTGATCTAGCTTCTGTATGTTTTTTTTTCTTTTATTTGTCTTTTTGAATGTATTAGAATTGTTCAACAGGACCTGGGTCAACCCTCACCTTGATTAAAGAAAACAGTTAAAACTGTGGCATAGAATCAGATTACTTTTTCTTTGTGCTTACCCTCCTCCCTTCTCTACCTGCCAAAACTTTACAGACAGATTTACATAACTTCATATTACTTCAGAGTGATTCTTCACCACTAGTTTTCAAGTCTTTGCCATGGGAACACAATTGCCCTAGAGCCCCAAGCTCTTCCACAGCTCCAAACCACTCAGAAGAATATCTCTACCTATCCGATGAAAAGTGCAGTGTTTGCCAGCCTTTGGTATGCTGAGAGGTTTTTACCTCAAAATGCTTTTTGACCCTACGCTGAGGTTCACATACTTTGCAAAAAGAGCTTTAATTTAGAGGAGGAAGGCTATTGTGTACCAGCATTATTCCCAGAACTGGGTGGAGAAGATTTTGTGACTCAGTGAGGTGCAAGACTGCAAGTATTCTCATTGGGTATTTGGATGAGGTCTCCGAAGTTGCTGCAAGACAAATCCGGTAGTGTCTCAGCAAGCCCTCACAGGGACACCTCAGATTTCCAAGATGGTTTGTCACTCTGTCTTAAAGTTTTCTAGTGGCAATGTTTTTACACCACTGGTAAATAAAGACAGTAAATGAACGCTTTCAGAAAGCCAAGGGGAAAACGAAGAAATCACAAAATTAACACTGAAAAAAAGCACAGCATTTTTTCTCGGAGTGAAAAATTGTTCGAATACATGATTTGCTGCAAAGAGAAGAGTTGTTAATTGTTTTTGCATGCAAAATTGGTTCAAAGGTATGAAGTTTGTAGAGCTTTATATGATAAAAGAAGGTCAGTTCCCTTGTGATGTTTTTGTAACTAATAAATCTTTTTCTCCTTCTTTGCTAGGTTCTGCCACATAGAAAAGCTATGAAGCCAGGAATGGTACTCCTCTTTGAACTTTTCCTTCTTCGCGGCACCTATGCTTGGATTGATCAAGAAGTAGGATGGGGAGCTTTTCCCTTATGTGATAACAATTTTAATGCTTTGGAGGGAAAATTTAAATGTCCCTTCCTGAGAGGCCATTACGACCCTAAAGTTGACAGATTCAAAAAAATTGAAAACTTTATTTCTCAAGATTTGGATCATTGGTTATGCAATCTCTACTTTCAGGTTTGTATTACAAAAAAATAGGCCTACTTTTTTAGTCATTGTTACTCACAACAGATTCTATTTCCTTCTGTCAGCCTTAAAAGATTTGTCTTTCCAAAAAGCAGCTTCTCAGCCTATCCAATGATTATCTAAATCTCACTGCATCTCCAACTTTTACATAAAATTAGTAGATATTTTGCAGCTTTGCAGCTGGATTTTAGGATTATTTAAAATATAAAAATATTTCTTGGGGTGCTGGGTAATTGGATCAAAAGTTCAAATTCCAGGTTTGGCCCTGCCACTAGTACATGTTAATTTCCTCCACAGTTTTACTGAATCACAGAGATACTTTCACATGACTACAAGGTAAAATAATATTTTTTGTGATATTGTTTTACTTGTATGTGTGGGACCTCCAGCTAGTGAGCATGGTTCTGTTGTGTTAGGATCCTTATTTTTGAACAGTTTTTGGGCATAATTCAGATGTGATGTTATTTGTATGTCTTTAGTGAAAATGGACCTAAATTAAGAACTTCTCTCTGGTGGAAACTTTTTTTCTGGATGGGCAAGTTAAGGGGTTTTTGTAGCTGAAATATGTTTCTTCATTCAGAATCTTAACAAGATCTTAAACTTATACCTCTTTTATAGTCAAATTTTACTCAGGAAAAAATACCAAAATAGATGAATTTTGAAAGCATCTCAACTATAATGTGGGCTTACTTAATAGAAATTTCAGTTTTTAATTTTCTTGTAGTGATGATATTCAGACAATCTTATTTTTGTGTCTACCAAGAGTAAAAGAAAGTAAAAGTAGCTTCAGAAACACATAAAGTGATAAGAATTTATACAACAAATATACCTAATACATGCTAGGAAAGAATGTCAGAAATAATAGAGCTATTGGGTAAGGAGGAGGTGAAGATTCCAAAGCTGCAAAATTAGTCTTTCAAATCAATGTATAAGGTGGGATGATTTAATAATCCAGGGTATCTGTATTTTCCCATATGATTCTGAAATTGGATTGCGACTCACACCCCCCTCATCACCCCCCATTTACTGGGATGTCTGCTTTGGTCAGTAAGCGTGGGGAAGACATACATGGTAAACTTATACGGGAGAAAATGGTAATAACTGGAGCAGAGAGAAACAAGAATTTCCTAAAATTCTCATAGCAACATCTTGGACTTCTAGGGTTCACAAACTGTGTACAAACAAGTATGTTCTGGTTTAGTGGAATTCTGAACTGCTTTCTTTTTATTTATTTTTTTCCCCCCACTTAATAGATAACTAAACTGCCACAGGATTCAGAAAAGCAAAGTAAGTGTGACATGCATCTTCATCTCCCCCCTGAACTTCACATGTATTCAAGTGTTGCTGAAAAGAATGATGTCTCAGAGAAGGTTGTACAGTCTGGACCACAAGGTGATGGATTCAAGCTTTGATGTTTTTATTCGGGTTTTCACTGGAGTAACCCATAGTTTAATTTTAATGTTGGCTAGTCCTTATTGATCTTGTTAAGCTAGATTTTTTTCTTCATGCCTTGTAGCAGGAATACTGTGATTCTTTTTATTAAGGTGGTTTAACTTTGTTTCAGGTGTAAGCAATTTAAATAAACCTCATTGCTAAGGATTAAACTTTCTGTGCTGGCCTATGCTTAAGGCTGAATAATGCTTGGAATGTCACAGCAGTAACATTTCAGCTGCTTATGGCATCAAGCTTATAGAAAGAGAAAAAAAAAAGGTACTTTTTTTTTGTCTATCGCTTGAAGAACTCTAGCACCTCCCTGGGCTACAACAAGGACTTTAAATTTGGCAGGGAGATAGTTCTGGCATCAGAGGCATGCCTTATGCTACTCCTATAAAATTCCATTAGATTCAATCAAGTGGTAATCCATAGGAAAGACAATTATCATTTACTTGTGCACAGCAGACCTCCCCAGAAGCTTTCTTAAAAAGCTGAATGTAAGTTTTAGACTGAGCATCCTTCCTGGCCTCTGTGAACCTTCTGATGTAGCTACGCTGAAGACGTAATTGACTATATTGCAATGGACTCACAAATTGCTCCTCTACTGTTAGAAATCACGTAATGAGAAGAATGGCAGGAGACTGCTGTTGCTCTTTTCTTTTTCAGCCTGTGAGATGTGACTGCCATGGGCAAAAAGAATTCATTTTTGCTAAATAGTTATTTCTATATTTTCTCTTGTTTAATGAATAAGGATGCAGCCCACCTACAGATTGTAGTGTATCTGTGAATATGATGTAAAGATCTGAAGCAGAGACTTAGCTCTCCAGGACAGAGGTTCCTCAGGCATTTGAGAACAGTAGCAGTGATACACTGTAGATGGCATGGGAGGAAAAAAAAAAGAGTGTATTGGAAGGAAAGAAAGAGAACAGATAAACAATAATCATTCTGCATGGTAGATGAGCAGCTCAGGTTGGAAGTATAACATGAAAAGAAGGTAGTAGAAGTATTTTTCAGACATTGAGTAATGATTTAGGAGAGAAAGAAAATGAGGTTTACCCTGAGATGCTTTTAGGCTAAGCAGCAATTGCACTGTGATCAAAAGACTTTTATATAACCACCTTGATACCAGAAGCATGGAGGTGTAAACATACACTGTGCTGTAAGGTCCTTTTTGTTGTCATTTGTCTTCTACATATCTGCCAGGGTGCTTTAAGGTGCAGCAAACCATGAGTAGCACATTCAAAAGGTGGAGTTGCAGGCAACTCTTCTCAACAGTGAAGAATTATGCACAAACTGTAAATGAATCAAACTTGTTTGGTCCTACCATCTGTCTTCATACACATTTGGAAATGCACATAGAGGAAGCACATAAATAGGTCACGCTCCCTGGAAATACATGGAAAAACTCATGATACACAATTTGAAAAGTCAAGAAATAAATCAAGAAAGAACATTAGTGTATGTCTTATTTTGCATGCAGACCTTTGAAATTTGCTGATACGGTGATCATGGAAGATCTGCGATTTCCCTGCCAAACAGATTTGCACTAAAAAAATTTCTAGGAGTAATTTTTGATATTGTTTATATGTATTTATTTTTCATGGAGCCTTCTTTAAAGATATTATTAGCTGCCAATATCCCCCATGGGTTTGTTTTTTAATGTATCTATGCAGTGCTACAGTATGCTGTTTCTGCTGGTGATATGTTGCTAAGAGATTTAATAATGGGTAAACAAACACAACATGTGGTAATCCATTTCAAATTAAAAGTTTATTAAACGCTAGCTTGATGACTTTCTGGCTATTTACAATTAAAGGAACAAACCTTAGAGAACTGGAGATCACGTGTTGAAAATCACAACTTCAACATTTCCCACAGAAAAATGTGTTTATGATCTGTGGCAAGCTGTCTCACATTGATATGCCCTATAAATACAGTATTATATCTGTTAAACCACCAAAAGCAGAGGGGGGGAAAGCTCTGTTAAAGTGACATTAAGGTTGAGACACAAACCAGAGAAAGCAAGAACAGTCTAAATGAAGACGAGTGCTCTGTAACTCACTCTACTGCAGTAGTCTAAATAGTGAGCGATCTTATGTATCAATACCATATGTGGTGCTGCAAAATAGAGCAGGTTAGGAGATGGTGTTTTAACCTTCACTTCAAGTTTGTCTTGTTTTTAGAAGTTTAAGAGAGAACCTTCATATTATTTCCGTTAACTAACTCCAGGCTATGTTATTCTTCTAAACCACAGCTCTCTGTTGGGCTTTGTATGGCTCTTCCTTGCTGCACAGGCTCTCTCCTCCAGAGTACAATGCATGGGAATGCAACATAATAACTCCCATTCTACCTCCTTTGTAGATCACAGATGTACATTATCAGATCTAGTGTGCCTCTAAGTCCAAACCATATCTTCTTTTCATTCTTTTGAAGTGGTATTCCATAAGAGGCTCATGGTAGAAGACAGCTTCTGCTTACACTACCACCATCCTTTGCTTTTCTTAAGAAAATCTTCTGTTGTTCATCTGTTGCTCGTTAAGGGATCAACAGTCTCTGTCAATGAATAAATGAGGATTTCTGTGTGGAATTCATTAGCTGTTGTGGGGAAGGTGGTAACAACTCTAATAGAAGCAGCTTAGGTAGGAAAATTTGATGCAACTAACAGAAATGTTGCCTTCAGAGACCTAGATCTAAGTAACATGGGCTTCTAAATGCATGAAAACTTCAAAAGTGTGAATCTTCATATAAAACACTAAATATACAAATTCATCAAGAAAACACTCTTTCTCACAGTGAAATCTACAGCAAGATCCCTTTTGAGTTTAGTGTCCATAGAAAAGGGGATTCACATGTGCAAAATGTCAGCTAAACTCAGACTTTTTTGGAAGTGGCAGCTCTTTCATCTTCAGAAAAGTAGCTAGACAGCACTTATGTATTAGTTCTCCAGCTCAAACACTTTTGGGTCAGACTTGGGCTGATTTGGGAAGTGTTACTCTGCACTTGTTGGGAACATTCTTCCAAATGCTTGCTCTTCTGTCTGTGCTGTTGTTCTGACTTGACATGTAAACACCTACTTGTGCCCATCTGAAATTGTGATCACATAAAACACGCAGGTGGGAAAGAGGTTTATCCTCTGTAGTGTTCAGAGCCAAAGAAAAACATTTTTCATTCCAGTTGACTTACTCACACCACTTTAATATTGACCAATTTGAAGTCCTGAAGTTATGGTCAGCACTGTACCAGCATATACTGATGTGCAATCAAGACCTAAAAAGAGTGTTTACAAGGCAGAAGATTTGTCATGTAGAAAGACTCTCACTACCTTGGCTGTCTTTGGACTAAACACCCACATGCAGATTTTTTATGTCTAAAATTTTCTTTCCAGAAAGTCTACTTGTGTCCACCCCCCCCCCCCCCCCCCCCCCGCCTTCCCCCCTGTTCTACTATACTTTGGGAAGTCAGAAACTCAGCTGTTTGAGAATGGTTTTAAAGATTATTTTTTCTCTTTTTTTTTTTTTTTTTTTCCAGTGGACAATTAGCCCATTTTCCCCCCGCACTTTATTTTTCCCTCCCCTTAAAAGGTTTGCTCTCTAACAGCAGTGCATGTGGCTCCTGCAGCCTATGCAACAACCAGAGGAAAAGTTAGAACCACGGAAATATTTTTAGTTCCCTAACTATGAGCTTATAACAGAAATAAATATCATATAGAAAGATAATCTTCAGGTGTACAGTTTTTCTGCTTACTTACAATTTACAGCATTTTTCTGTCTGTCTTCATTCTGTTTGTCTGCATGCTTGTTAATAATAAAGTTGGTTTGTACCACTTGGCTTCAGCAGTCCTTGAAACTCGCCAGAGTTGTAAAGCTTTAAACAGTTACACAGGTCTTTAATTGTAAATTAGTTTTGACAGGACTGCTAAGACAAAGGCCTGGTCCATCCCGTCCTGATGCTAGCTGACAACCCCTTACTGCTCCTGGAGCAAGGAAACATGTGGAAGGAATTGTTCTTTTACATTTCACAGCTTGTCATTTCCTCTGCAGGGCAACCTCTGACCTCCCCGAAAGATCCTGACACCCATAAGGGAAGTATTCCCACTGTTGTAGAGGAAGTGGAAAAACAGTTTAATGCAGCAAAAGGAGGAGAAGTGTGTGTGTCAGAAGAAGCTTGGAGGAAAAGAGAAGAGCTTAAAATGCTTCCAGCAGGTTAGGACTTTTATTGCATTAATTTACTGAAAGTTTGCAAATAGATCTGCTTGGCATGTGTGTAAATACCCCCATTTGCCTTCCCCCTAGCCCTGTGATATCATGTCATCATTAATTCACTGGGCAAAGGAAGAGATGGAAGAGTTTAAATCAATTGTGAGGGATCAAAAGCAGCTTAGGCAAAAAGGTACAGAAATGGTGGGCTCCCCTGTCTAAAAAGTGTTGGTAGGCCAAATGTGTTAGTAATTACAAGGTGTGTGTGCAGTGCACTGACAACATTAGATTACGACTGGTGTTTCCGTGACATTTTTACATCCTTCCATTTTATTTGGTCATTTATATCCATGGATCACAACATGTTGCTGTTAGATGCTTGGGAAGTACTTTTTCTTCCTGCAGCACTTTAATAGCAATATCCTTTGTTAATTGTGCAAAGCTAAATTGCGTAAAAGTGCCTGTCTGTATTTGTATCAGGTAACATTTGCTACTTGAATGTGGGGTTTCTTTTGAAGGCAAAGCCTTGGAAGTTGCTACTGCGGAGTTTTTTCTTGGTTTTGTTCATTTGTTTATTTGTTTTCATTGGGTTTTTTTTGGTGGATTTATTTGGTTTGTTTGTTTGTTTGTTTTTAAATCCCAGGTAAAAAGTATTTGTCTGAGAACCGAGTAATATAACCCCTAGGTCCTGTCCTAAACTCAGATACCACCATGATGGCCAGAAGCAGACTTAATACAGGGCAGGGATGTTGGTACCAAAGTACCAAGAATATAGACAACCACTCCCACTTTATGACCTGGGTAGTGTATTGTGCTCTCAGTCCTACAATAGAAAAACGGCAGTGCAGGCACAGAAAGTGCCGATGTCCACGCTCCCTTTTGTTCTCACACCCATGCATGTCCCCCAGGTGCCAGCCAGCCCTCTTGGTCACAGCACAGATGTTTAGGATGAATAGGCAGATCGAGTAGCTGAGAGAGTGGTGAGGGCATCAGGAGCTGACCTGAGATCCACACTCATCACTGCTCATCACTCTCTCAACCATCATGAACAATGTAAGGGTCAGCTTTCATTTTAGGAAAGGGCAATTCTCACTCCCTTGGCCAGTGTCTAGAGATGAAAGCGCAAGTGAAAATAAATTATTCTTGTCTTTTGAAGAGAGAGAGCGACTCTCCTTCTATAACAGGAAGCTATAATGGTTGGACACTGAACTGAGAAATATTAGGTAAGAGATAGCTACCTCTTATCTGTGTAAACAGCAGCTTGTAGTTGTCTTCAAGTCTGTGGGATCCCAGAGATGATGTTGTAGAATTTTGGATGCATGTCATTTTGAAGCCAATTGATGTGCCACTTTCCTTTTAGAGTAGCCCATGAAACATCACTAAATAATTATTTCTTTGGAGTTCTCCTTCTCTATTGACTGCTGAAGAAGGCTAGGACTATGCATCTGCTATTATAGGTGCGTTTGCTGAATATCTCATGTTAAGTGGGCACAAATAGAGGTAGGAGCTAGTATGGCATTGCTAAGTTAGGATTCATAAATGCTGAATATTGATGTTGACTATCACAGATATGTAAGAAGTAGAATACAGAGCTGGTGTCAGTTTTTGTTAAGTAATGTTGCTGACAAAAGGTTAAGCACATTACAGAAAAAAGTAATAAAAACTTCCAGTGTTTCAAGGGTTCTCATTCATGTCCTAGTAAGACCAACACTTAACACGTATTTCTAGATGTTGGTCCTTCTAAGAATATAATCACAGCCCTAACTTAGAATTTTTTTTTCAAATTCTACTTTAGTAGAATCTACTTTGAAATGTATTTAGTTCATTTGCCCAACTTTAGTTGTGCAAAGCAGCTTAGAATACTCACAATATTTAAAACATAAGTAACCTGCAAGAACAAAAGTTTTAAAATAATGTTTAATGGTGTTTGACATTTACCTTTGGGTGCTTTTAATTTTTTTTCAAACTTGTTTTCCTTGCAACATTTGGATGTTTCCACCTTTAGAGTGTGTCTCAGAACCTAATTATTAACTGTGCAGGTGGACAGCTATTCCTTGTCCCCTCTTCCCCCTACCCCCATCACCAATGTTTATCTAGATCTAAAACTACCATATTGAATTTTTATTCAAATTACTTCTGTGGAGTTTGGTAGAGATCCAATGCCAAACACAGCATTTTAGAACCCATATTTTGAATTTAAGAGGGTCTCTTACAAATATCCTGAAACAAGGCAGTTGCAGAAGTGGACTGATTTTGAAAGTGTGCAAGTTTCGAGCTGGCCTCCTGCCAAGTCCCCGAAACTTGACCACAAGGACCTGCTTCCCAGAGAGGGAAGAGGAAAAAAAAATGCTATAGCCAAAGCTATAGCAAAAATATATATTTATTTTACATATGAGACAGATACATACAATGAGAATACTATACACCACAACTCCAGAAATCCCAAACAGCTCCCCAAAAAGGGAAGAGGGGGAGGGAGAAGGGAAAAGGACAAAAAGGGACAAAGACCAAACGAGTCAACCAGCCAACTGAAGGTAAATTAGCAAAATCTCACCACTTCCCTTTGAACAAGCAGGATGGCCAGACATGGCCCAGCGCTCTCCCCTCACGCGTGGCAGTCACTGCAGGCCTCGGCTCCAGATAAGCCAGACCGAGACAGGGACCCACCGTTCTCGAACCTCGCCGGAAAGGAAGAGCGTGAGGTCCCTCCTGCTGGCTTTATTTATACCTCAAGTTACGTGAAGGAATAGCACGGAATACTTCCGTGATCACTTTCCTAGTTCCTTCCTGGTTACAAGCTGGTCTCTAGGAAGGCCTAGAGTGAAACCATCACAGAAAGGTACTGAATTATCACAACTTTTGTCAACGGAAGGTTGGATTCAAAAGGCATTATTTTGTATCGTCAGAGGATCTGACTCAGTATATCCTAAGAGATAATACTATAATTGATGGAGGATTTAAAAAAAAAACAAATTCTGGTACTTGATAAATCTGTTGCCTGTTAATTTAATGACAAACTTGTTTCAAAAGGCACATCACTAAAGCACAGATTTTCTGTGATGGAACACTGTCAGTAATGTAACCACTAAACTTATTATCTTCACTCAGAACTAGGATGGAAAAAAACCTTTCATTTGAAATCCCCAGATAATTTCTGCCGAATGACATGTAAACTAGGATTTATACTGTACCTGATATTTAATTTGGTGCTTCAACAGTGCCTGCATTTTTGTCCTCACCAGTGCTCATCCCAGCAGCTGCTCCCTGGCCCTTCTCTCATATGAAGTCTAATTTCTTTTTTCAAAGCCTCCATTTGTGCATGTACCACAAGTAAACCCTCTGGAAACACATGAAATATTTCTCATAAAATTGTTAGTCAGCTAGTATTCTTCTCATTTTGGGGGCTTGACAACACTTCTGTGATTCCTTCAACCCTCTGATTTATCACCTTCCTAGGGCATACCCAGGACAAAGTTTTAGCTCCTGATTTTCAGATCTTCTAGCTCAGAAGGATTCTTTTGCTCAATGTCTGTCTTCTACAATAAACTTTCTATTGAAAACAGATGTTAAATATTGTTCATATTCAAGATCTCTAATTCAACACCCTTTCTGCATCTGTGGAAAAACGTTGGGAAGTTAATTGTGTCCTTTTGTGACATCCAAAGGCATTTCTGTCTGGACAAAGCTTCCAAATAACATCTAAGCAAAGATGGCATCAGGCTAACCAAGAGGCTTAGTACTTTAGCAGATAGTACTCAGAACTTTATTCAAAACTTATTAAGATGTCACCTCCAGATCAAAATACCAAACACAGACACAGCTCCATTCTAATTTTATCATTACATTTGGAGAGAAGGCTTTACATTAATGTAAAGCGTTAAAATGTACTTATATAAGTGACCAATAGTTTTGTTGAGAGTGTTATATTTATGCTTATAGCCACTTCTGAAACAATTTCATGCAAAACAATGAATCTTCATTGTAATACTTCTCATTATAGTGCAATGAGGTTCTTTCCTTCTGAGATGCTGCATGCTTCTACCTAACAGCCATATGCAGATGCAAAAATAGTTACCTAAACCAAAACACTTGAATTGTTCTCACTGGTAATACTTCATGGGTGCCACTTTAAAGGGAACAAAGTGATGTTTTAAAATGAAGATTGCTTACCCCTCATTTTTATTACAGATGGAGTCTCAGAGGCAGAGCCTCAGACGGTTGAACCTTCTCTTTGTCTGCTTGTCTTTTCTTTCCCTGAGCAGGACTGCATAAAGGATTGGGTTGATTCTTTCAAGTGGGATCGAATCCAGTTCCCACTTACAGTTGTGTCATCCACACAAAACAAACTCTTCTATTTTCCAACTCTTACCATGCTATTTTATTTCTCACAGGCTGGGCTATTACTAGGGAGGAAGCCCAGATAGGTTCTTCATATTATTTTCTGTCCCTGCAGTAACTTAACCAAACTGGTGATTTCTTTGTCTGCTGCCCCGCTCCTGGATCACACAACTCTAAAACCCTTTCCCACTGATTTAAAGAGAGGTTGCATGCATCAGGAGTGGCTTCCCTTCTCTACTTTGCCTCCATATAAGTCAGAAGTAGTTTCCATCAAATTACTGTAGTGTCCTAGCTGTGCTATTTCTTTTTGTCCATATTTAAAAAAAAAAAAATCTTTTAGACTCTCCCCTCCCCTTCTCTCCCCCCACCTCCCAATATATAAAAATTTCACAGTATCAGCCCTATATACAGCCTCTGAAAGTTTTACATCATAGAGAATCTGTTTCCTACCCCTCTTTAATGCTCATTCAGAAAGGATGTGTTTACATTAACATTTAGGTATTTAGGGCACTTTTGAAGTGAATGCCTTGCCCCAGTTGTCAGTCTCTTGTTTGCTGCAGAGAGATCTCAGAGGACAAGCACTGGCCACCTTTAGGGTGAAGCTGATCAACCATATGTGCTTTAGGTGTGTGTATCAGAGCCATCAGTTCCTAGGACCAAACTAAAACTAGCCTGACATGAAGTCTGCAACACACAGCAGGGTCCCCACTGTTAAGGGGTGTCCTCCGAACTGTTGATTTCATTCTACAGGTTGCGCCTGTACTTGTTGCGCCACAGTACTTGTTACAGAAGACATAGCCAAAGATGATAACTTCCAGACTGAATGCAGAGGATAAAAAAAGGTGTTTTTTTTATTCTACAAGGGTTAAGAAGGAGTAAGACACCCTATAATTTTAAAGGTCATGCTACTATGCTCAGCTATTGCCCAGAGAAGGCTGATGCTGAGAAAGGTAACAGTAGCACCAACATTTTTCTATTCCAACATCATCTTATTCTGTTTTAAAAACCAGGCCCCGCTGAACTCAGGGACTTAATGCAGTTAACCCTTTCTTTGTATCCCATATTAGGTATGATCTGTGTGACATCTAAACTATTTGATTGGGACTTAATATCACCCAGAAATGACTTCTCTCATTATTGTCAAGGTCTGGAAATAAATTTCATCTCACCATGCTTTTACAAATCCATGCCCATTCCACAGTGGTGACAAAAAATGCCACCCGTTTTTTCCTATTTCTCTTATAAAAATGAAAGACATTTAAACTATTCTGCTGGACTTACCTGATACAGATATAGAACTTTGGATTAAGAATTTTATTGTTGTTTTCAGGCCCTGGTGCAATCATATTTTCCTGCTCTTGTGCATATGTTTCTTGACTTCCAAAGAAACCTATTAACAGAGGTCTACACCTGCCACTGTACCTTTATCATAGCTATGATACCTGTCTTTGATCATTCTTTCTTGGTGTTATTTTCTCCTCTTCAAATTGTTAATTTTTATCATGAATGGTATTATGTTTCCCCGTTAGGGAACAAAATGTATTTTGAGTCAATTTACTAAAATAGTCACTGCTAAGTGTTATATCTGGACAAAGTTGACACCTTTGACATTTTCTAAAATGGCAAAAATAACTGTATTTAAGGTATGATTTATGAGTATTGTATGTCAGGAATTTCTATGCTATTACAGTTTCTGATGCAGTAGTCTCAACTTTTTCAATGAACAAATTGCTGATTAACCAGCTAGTTAATGCTTTATTAGTTTTCTGTGGTCAATTATAAAAAGTTATAAAAAAGTAAAATGCAATTTAATAATAAAGAACTGTGTGATTCTTGTTTCTCTCTCAGAACTGCTTTCTTTTGTGTATGTGGAAGAAACAATTTCTACATGGCTCAGTTTTATGACACATTTCCCCCTCCCAACTAAGAGCAATCCTATGATTAAAAAGTAGACTGGAGTCTTTAAATGTCCTTCTGATTGCTGGCCTCTATTAAAAACTTCTTAAAATAATAGATAGGTTTAATTCCTCAAACCAAAGAAAAATTATATCATCTTAAGCATTTTCCATATTTATTATATTGATGAGACTTGGCTACAGAGAAAAAAAAAAAAGAAGCAAAATCTCTTGTATTGCAAGTTTTAAATGTACCAGGCTAAGGTTTACTTAATTAGAACCTCCAGGCAATAAAGGAGCCCTTTTTTAAATTCTGTGAATCTTAATATGCTAAATAATGCAAAGCTTCAACTCTTCAAGCATGAGACACACATCTGGCAGCTTAATATTTAAATTACAGAAAAAAACCCACTTCAGTAGTAATTTTCATGAAGAAAAGAATGGGAAATGTATTACAACTAAATTTAATTTCTTTTTAGATTTTTCATCCTAATTGCAAACATTTCCCATCTTCTCTTTTATTTATTTATTTTCATACAGATTTTTTCTGTACTTTTTATTGATCTTTAATTTGAGCAGCTTCTTACTGTTACAGACATTGAAGAATTACATTGTGTTTTTACTTAGCAAAAATTGTTCAGAAAAATCTATGAGGAATTAAAATAATGAGCTCACTGGTATAGAAAGAAAAGAGCATTGAGAGCCTTACAAATAAAATATAAAAAGAGCATGTCATGATTAAGTAACAGACTTGCGTTTCTTCTCCCACCCATTTCTTAAATGTAGAATATTATTGTTTTCTTTATTCTTTTTAGTGTCCCATTTTTTTGGCCAAAATAATTACTGCTTTATTCATTTGACTCCAAAAACATTGTTAAAGTATTCATTATTTCATCAGGGCTGTTTGGAAACCCAGTTCTGTGTGCCAAAGGAAAAAAAAATATTGAACAAAGAAAACCACAGTAACCATCTTTACAAAGGTATATTTATATTTTAATATGTGTTTATGGGTTCATACATGTATCACATATATGGAATATGTAGAGACAATTTGAACTGATTATACGGCATGTGTGCATACATGTGACATTTCCAGCAGTTGTATTTTATGCTGTTTCAGTGATTTCAGTAGACCTCCTCTTTCACCCCAGATGGTGCAAATACCTGCAAATATCTTGTTTACTACGAATGTTCGACATATACAACATACACCTACACGTATGTATACATATATGTAGAAACTAAGAAAGATATCCATATGTGACATTGTATATGTGTATATTGTACATGCCTATATCAACAATTGTAACACCTAAGAGCTGATCCTGCCTGTACTGTGATTTTAGATACACTTGATTGTCTTTTACTGAGTGGGATTGGAAATAACTTAAAAAAAAAAGAAGGAAATAATAACACAGTATATTTTTGGATTAGCCTCCATATGCAATACATTAAAAAGTGTCTAATACAGACCTTTATTTCTGCCACACCACTACTTCCTGAAATGTGGAATTACATTTTTGTTCATTCTACAGGTCACTACTTTTCAGGAGCTTAATGAACACACGACTTGTGTTTTCTAAGCAATGTTTATTCAAATGCTTTTTATGCCTCTGTCTTGTTCTTGATCCACAACCATGTCCATACAAGAAAATTAACTTCTTTCTCTCTTCTGAAGAACACTTTCTGGGGTGTTTAAAATACCCTTCCATGTCATTCTTCTTGTGTCTATTATTTCTTTATTTCTACTTTTTCCCCTGTTTTGTATCTATACAATTTTTATTTCCAGGAACACAGTATCCGAAGTCTTCTCTGCATTTATCATACTAACATTTCTGGAAGGTAGTAGAGAAATAACCACCTATTTATAACTAGGATGGAGAAAGAAAAATGATCTGCATGAAGTCAGACAGAATCTTGTTGGGAGGAGGACCAAAACCCAGCTCCTTCCTTTCCAGAGCTTTATCTTATGCACCAATACAAAAAATAATTTATGTTTTGTGGTTTGCTTTTTTTTTCTTTTCTTGCAGAGGATTACCAAGATTGCCATGGCAGTGCAGATGAGCACTGTGACTTGTTTTGGCCAAAGGAAGTCCAAGGAGGACATCACGAGGTACAGATCTTGATACGGACATCATTGTCTCCCTTAATGCGTGCAGAGAAGCCATTGGATCTTCTACCTGTTGCTGTTGTTGTGTTTCTTTAATCTACCCCTGTGAAATTTTTTATGGCCACAAAAAGGCTTCACACGGCCAGGTGTATTGCTGTCTCCTGCATGTGTCTATAGGGAGCTAATCTCTCCAGCAAAGAAACTTCAAAGGAGTAGTAGGGAAAGACCATCCTAATGGTAATCAAATACCAGCAGCTTAATCAAGTCTGTGCTGCAGGATGGTATTATTTCAGTACTGTTTAAACAAGAGATGCATCTATAACCTTCAAGCTCTCATGTACTTGAGCAGAAGATCCCTACCATTAGATACTTTTAGTATAATATTTGTAGTATCTTGGTCAAGGACATAATTAATTTGTGAACAAATATTGTGTCATCAGTACAAGTTTCCATAAAATCGTATCTGCATCATGACAACACTTTCTGGGTGAAATGCTACTGAAACTTTCAGATTTACTGTAAATCCTGATGACTAAGACACAAAGAAAACTCTGTATTCCTGAGAATTGCTTCTACCTGCATTATATTATTAAATTAGGTATTTTCCAATGAGGGTTGCAATTTTTCTCTATAAGTGTTGCTCCACTTCCGTCCTTAAATCAGCATGGTTGCAGAGAACTATAACTGCAAACCTGAATATTCAAATTAATCATTCTGGTAATTTGTCTTACCCTGCTCTAGATATACTCTGAAATATTTTTAATGCTTTTAATTGTCCATAGAAGAAAATCATCACAGTACTCAGAGTACTCACAAACTTGTGTACTACGTGTTTATACCTGTACATGTACTGTGGCACAAACACTCAGTGGCTGGGAATTATTATTGTAACTTTCGTAGTGTGATGATCTACTTCTCTGAGTAAAAATAGATTGACCAACTGGAAGTTCCCTCCATTTTAAATGGATAAATTATTAAGTGATTTATTTTTTCAGGAAGTTAAGGATAACTTGGAGAAAACAGAGTTATATATAAACATAACTGCAGACCGATGTGTGCATGCACGTGTGTGTGTGGCCTTATATCTATAGGAAGGATGATTTGAGGACTTTTGGAATCGATGTAGTGGGCAAAGTAACCCAACCCATGGGAGTGGCAGAGTGAAATTCATTTCCTACAATTGCATAAAAAACATGATGTCTTTGAACAAAGTGCCACATTCTCATAGGAACTTCAGTTGTGGGTGTCTCTCGAAGCCAAATTAAAGTGACCTGGTTTCAGCGAGGTGTGTAAACCCATGGGGAATTCAGCACTGTCTAGTCCCTCTGGACTCAGTGAAATGGCTGACTAGCTTACAGTTATTGATATGTTTGTATAGATTTCTGAACTGAGCCTCTTATGAGAATGCTTCTGCACAAAAGAAATGTATGTGAAATATCCTTTCAAAGGTTGTAAGAGCCCCTCCTTTTTAATGGCATGAATGAACCCTAATGTTTGGAGAGAACCTGTTTAGCATGTTCAAGATCTAGGCATTTGGCCTGATTTATATCATTTGGATCTATTTGTATCTCTGGATACCATCCTGTAAAATATTTTTATGTAACAGTCATATTTAGGAAACAATGACAAACTAATGTAAAGAGCAGACTTAAGGAAGAAGACAGAAAATTCTGTAGTGTTTTATTCTCCTTAGCAGTCCCTTTTCTTCTTGTAAACATATTTTTAAAATTTTTTTTAATAACAAAAACAAACAAAAAGATCTTTAAGTCTGACCTCAACTTTTTGCCCCCAAATTCATCTATGCTAAGAAGTTGCAAATAGTCTCTCACGGGCATTAACACTTAGTTTTTGTTGTAACGAGTGTACACACTATTGAATGGATTCAAGATATTGAATGGTAGCAATAAAGGAGAGGATGCTCACAGTCAGTGACTTCTGAGAGAAATAAAATATATTCTCTGATATAATCCCATCCTCATGCAGATGACTGAATTTCTGTTTTTGTACGTTAGTCAAGATCAAACACAGTCAGAGAAATTACTTTTAATACTCTTCAATGCCTTTGGGATTTATGTCTTAAATAATGTCTTTATATCTACTTTGCACAGGGATAGTTTCATGGAGGCAGTGTCAGCAAGCAAGGTAGCCTGCACACGCTACCTGCTCTGAAACCTTGACTTCTTCTGGGAAATTAAGTTGGGCAGTTTTGTGTCTGGGTAAAATCTGTGTCTGCCTGGTCTTAGTATTTGAAAACAGGTTTAAGCACTTTTAGTCTGCCTTAACTCTTCATGTTTACATAGAACCTCTTTCTGACAATATATTCCACTGCTTGTGGCAGCTTTTCCAATGACCACTGAGAATAAGTTGATTATATCATATTTACTGATAAGAGTATGTAGGTATATGCATTTTGTAGGTATGAATATGAACTTCTGTCTCTTATATCTGTGAAATCCAAAATGTGGATGAGGTCAATGTAATCCAAGCTTCAGAATACAAATTTACCTTTGAGAGCAAAATGGTTTACAGAGTTTAAAAAGAAAAAAAAACTTTGTTGTTTTCATGATTAGCAAAGTGTAAAGTGTGTGACTACATCTTATGTCAGTGCTTTGCTCCCTGGGAACTCTGAGTTTTTTTGGGATCTACAGAGTAAACTTCATGTTACTACAGAGTAAACTTCATAAATCTGAAAGTCAAATAGGAACTTAAATCATCTAGGTTATCTTCTAGTATTGACTAGAGAATTTCAACCACTTGCTCCGTAAAGTTGGCATCAAGGGATGTAGAATCAAAATTTTTCTTTGAGGTTACCTCTAAATAGTATACTTTCCATCTCCCTGTCTAACGGAAGACCAAAAAGGGAGTTCTGTTACTAGTTTGAACATAACATATTTTAATTTCCACCCCTTTGTTTTCTCTGGGCTTGTTCACTAAATGTTAGCAAACCCTTTACAGAGCTTGGTATTGCGCCTGGGAAGGTATTAGTAGATAGTATCATTGAAATCTCCTGCAGATGTCTGTCTGATAAGTTAGGACCTCTTTGTGTCTCTTGGTGGAAATGATGTTTGTCTCTCTGTCCAGGGGTGATAACACCAAGCGTCCAGGGCATCTGATGGTCACTTCACAGAAGCAGTGCCAGCAATCAGACCCTGTGCATGCAAAAATGTTGTTCCAGAGATGAGCAGAGATCAGGATTCTCTCCTTTGTAGCTCAATGAGTAGTTTAAATGAGAATAAACTGGTATGAGCACTGAAAGATATAGTACTGTCCCTCTCCTGCTTTGTGCGGGCACCAGTGAAGGGTGGCCTGGATCAGAATGGGTCCAGCTGAGAGCTAACCCAGTTAAATAAAAGAAAAAGAATTAAGGCAAACAGCATTAATTCCATTCCCAGATTAGTTCCCTCTGTGTGGCTTACTATGGGGATATCTTAATTTTTGTGCTGACAGTGTGTGGTATACAACACAGGAAAAAGCAAGCAGGTAGAGGGAGACTGGATGACTGCTGGTGTCAGCATGAGCTTACACCTCCTTGAGAGGGTTTGTCAAACCACAGCCTTATAGGAACATAAATCCATTCAGGGAACAATACTCTGTGTGCAGCTCTGGGTCCTACCAGTTAAGAAGGTTGTGAAGGTCCTTGAAGGTGTCCTGAGGACAGCAACAAAGCTGGTGACAGGGCTGGAAGGCCTGTCCTGGGAGGAACGGCTGTGCTAATTGCCTTACTATTCCAACTTGTTTTTTCTTTTCATTTAAAGGTCAACTGGAATAACCCACCTGACCAACATCATGAGGAAAGATCAGGTCCTGAGAGCAATGGAAGCCAAGAAGAAGAGAAAACATCTGTAGAGAGCAATTTTTACTTGGAAGAGTTAGAGCAGTATACTTTTTCTGTGGGGTAAGTGATCTCAGTATCAAATAGTTTTACAACCCAAGAGTATATCTTGCTATTCCTGTATTCAAAAGGTACCTACATTTAAATGAATGTTATTAGACTGCAAAAAAACCCAAAACACATGGATTTTTTTTAACTCCTTAACTTATGGTTGACCTTGATAAAAGAAATTGGAAGCACTTTTTGTCTGAGAATGCAATTTTGACATTGCTGCATTGCTTTGAGAAACCGTGTGAGGGGAATAAATACAAAATGATTTCTAGCATAATATTTTCAACATTTTAAGAGTAATATGCAATCTTTCTTGGATGTTACTTTGACTATTAGTTTTCTCTTTTATAAAATATGGAAAGTGTCTTAAAATGAAAAGATAAAGTGAAACTAAAAAGACTTCTTTAAAACAAAGTTTTTTCAGTTATTTATATTTCCTGGAATTTCATATTCTAGATAATTACAAAAGCTAGACAGTTATTTGTAATTAGTAGAAAACAATGAAGATCATTTCACTAAATGAAATGATCTCATAGACTTTCACATAACTCCATATTGTGCTTTGAATATTCAAAACCCAACCCTCAAAACATTTCTGGCACCTATGGTCTGCAAATCAGCCCCTAGGATTTCAAATACAGCAGTCAGTAAACTAACATCACAATAGAGTGGGCATCTGTGAAAATTTAGTTTTAAATTACTTCCCTATCAAAACGTGAGGCAGGTTTATCTCATGGGCAAGCCAAGCAGCCCTCAATATCACTTGTCCTGTTGTTCCCTGCTCTCATTTGCCACACTCATTTGGTGCCTTAAAAGTTGGCAGAAAGTTTGGTAAAGACCTTACAGACACAAAGTGCATTTTCTCTATAGAAATCTGAACTCAACTCTAGAGGTGGTTAGCCCTGAGTATTGGAGGTGACAGCAATCAGCTGGAAAAATAACATACACTCATACAATTAGGCTGTCATAATTCTGCTGAATTGATTATGGTTATTTTTGACAACTGAGGACTCCCCCATCCTTGCCATAATAGAAGAATAGATTTTAGGGTAGCATTGCTCATCCAAATATCCTTGCCAGCTCCCAGTGCTTCATTTTACCTACCTTAATTTTCAAATTAAATTAACCAAATTATCATCAATTATCTATCTCAAGGTGCTCGCTTTCAGTACCAGGGAACTTCACTTTCTCTCTTTCTAACATTTAATTGTAACATTTAATTGTATATGCCCTATTCCTGGAAGTGTTCAAGGCCAGGTTGGATGGGGCCGTGGACAACCTGGTCTGGTGGAAGGTGTCCTTGCTCATGACCGAGGGTTTGGAAGTAGATGGCTTTTAAAATCCCTCCTAACCCCAACCATACTGTGATTCTGTGTACATTTGAAGTTAGCAGCATTGATATTTTATTCTTTTCAAAGTTGTTCAGCTTGAAAGTGTTGAGAAAGGGCCCCAAGTCTCTACTTCCTTCAGCACTGGAGCACTCCTGGAGCACGTGCTGGTTTCTAGTAGCTGTCCCTGCAGCAGCCTGGCCCCAGACCTTGAAGTCCGTGTCCTTTGTGACTGCACAAGGTATCCAGAGGAGCAGAGGGAACAGGTGTTTGTCTAAGTTGGTGTGCACCTCACCGTCTGATGTGGAGACTAAGAAAAAATGGCTGTCCTTTCTTCCATTTTCTTTTCTATTTCTTTTCTTTGTCCTTTGTTAAGAAGCCCATTTCTCCTTGGACCCCTGTGCCTGCAGGGACACTGACTTTGCTCGGGTTCCTGGGGAGGCATAGGTATGTCTGAGCACAGTAAGTTACAGGGCATGAACCGTATATTCCTGTTACAAAACAAAGACTACAAGCAATGCATCAGGGTGACTGGGCTGCCTCTCCTACCTTAGGCTAGTATTTTGTTATTTCACTGTGCCATTATATTTACTGTATCCATCATCCTGTTTGAAATAAGGACAAGTTCTTGCTTTATTTACTTATGTATTATGTTAAAGTCCCATAAGTTTAGAACAAAGCAGAACTTAGAGGGAATTTCTTCACTTTCTACTTCACTTGTGGTCATCATCTTTATCAGAAAGAAAAAAAATAGCAAAAAAATTACTCCTCTCTTGGTCAAATAATATAGATATTACATATAGTATGTGTCCCTAAAATATATTTTTCAAACTTAGAGTTAATTCAGTTTCCCTGAGTGATTTAAGGAGAATCTGATACCTTATGAGTTGTTAGTTCCATTTGTTACTGTACCAGCATGATGTTTCAATTGTTACTCACTGCTGTCTGTCTCCTCCTTTCCTTCCCTCCTACTTTCTCCATCAAAGGGCATCAACTCCTCTTTGTCTGTTTCCAGACCTTCCTTTCTTCTATGATTGCTACCTTTTAAAAAATGCAATGGAAGATAATTAGCTACTACAAAAATTTTTAATAGCACTGTAGATCTGGGGGCAGCTTAGATCTCCATAAACTTCAGAGTTTTAGATGCTTCAAGATGCAATCTGAGCAATTTCCTTGATCTTTTATTGCAGCTGGTAAATCATTTATTGGGCTAGGTTATTTTACAAAATCCTCTTTAAAAACAAAATCCCATAAAATGTATTTATCATAAAATACTGCACAACCAACAGTCTTTAAAGTTGTACATACTCTGTATTAATTAAAAACTAGTGTTGTACTGTGACAAGTTAAAAGTATCCACTCTATCTCAGTCTCTCTCTTTCCCCCCATTCTCTCCCTGCCTCTCTCTGTAATTTTTTTCTCTCTTTCCTTTCTCTCATATTCTCTTTTCTTGTGGGGCTTGCCAAAGGGGAGACTGGCGAGTACGAGCAAGATATTCTTTTGTGATCACAAATATTTTTCTGATAATTGGGGTGCTTTTTTGTTTCTGTTGCTATAGCATGCTTGTCCTTTTTCATTCTTATTAATTTTACAGTGGTGTCTCACATCCGTAGGCCATAGTCAAACCTCCTTACAGTGGGCATTATACACATATGTAATAAAAAGGGCTTTTTGGCTGCAGAAGCCCACAGCCTTCAGGTTGCGTCTCGCAACCTACAAGAGTGACTTTCCCACTGTGCCCCCATACAACCTTGTTAAAAGCATCAGGCTTTTGCTTAGGTCTGGTGAGCTGGAGATGAGGGGGTTGGGTCCAAAAGACTCAGGGAGATCCATGCTGTTTAGGTGGTCAGGGGCAGTCACAGCCTGGTAGATGCTAAATGCTCACCGAGTGCTTTGCAGACCTTCCTGGAGAGCTGGCTTCAGGACCTTGCCTCGCAACCCAGCATCACTGAACCTCTCTTCTCTGATTTTTGTGTTCCTGGAACTAACAGTTTGTGTAATCTGCAGCAGAATATGAATGTTTTTAGTGGCTATTGTCTAAATAAGACAGGTGAGATCTGTAACCTTGAGAGAGAAGGAGGAATATTTGAAGGAATTTTGACCCTTGCAGCTCAAAACCTACTGTCAGAAGCTCTCTAGTTCTGTTCTTCTGTTCCCTGAAACAAGCAAAATTTGAGGAAAAAATGTTCTTCAAGGCTATTTGTCACTATAAAGCCAGATTTCCTGAAGATGCATAAAAATACAGATCTGAGAAATAATTTCGACACTTCAGCACTTTAACAGTGCTTTTTATGCATAGTTTTAGAGGAGAGGGGAAAAAATCCCAGATCTCAAAAACCTTTCTCTATCTTAATACAAAAAAACATAAAGACATAAACACTTTCTGTGACTTCAGGAATCTTCAGGTTTGAGTTTATATATAAATAATGAACTAGCAGGTTCAGTCGTCAAATACTTATCATCAAACACAGCTCTTAAGGGTTAATATTTCACACTATTATAAAAGTCACGATCATCCTTTGTCTCTGTGCAATTAGCTTTTTAACAACGTGCCTGTAGCTCATACCTAGGCTAAATGCTGCTTTGAAATATTTTCTCCTGAACTCCAAATGTGTTAAGCTGACTCTGGCCAGCTTCTATAAAACTAGTTTATGGTAGGGCACTGCCTTTTTTGAGGGAATACCCAGTGCCCCACGCAGCATTGCTGTGTGTTACCTGTAGTAGCTCAGTTGCAGAGGTAGCAAGCAGAGGGTGAAGACGAAATAGGCTCTTGTCGGCATACGGCAGCCTGGGTAGGGTGGACAAGGCTGAAGACCTCTTTACAACCCTGCCTCTACGCCTATAGACTCTATGATGTTTACCTGCTGATTTTTTTTTTTCTCCAAATTGAGGAGGACACTGAGGGGCAGGAAGCATTAAATGTAAAGTGCACAATATAGTAAAATTGTTTTCTATATAGAGACAATAAACTTTCCCTTTATAATACACATGTGATTTGACATTGAAATAAATGCAGATGCTTCTTTGCTTGGTGTATTCCCTGTTGTGCTTTCTAAAACACCTTCACATATGGTTTGCCTCATTCCTGTGAAACGGCTTGTTGTTTATGTCATACAAATAGAACAGATTGAATTTACACCGAGTTAGGAGGGTGATGGATCCTACGTTAGAGGAAAAACCTTGTCTGAATGTTTAAAATTTGTTCAAAATTAGTGTTGCCTATTTGAAAAATTTCCCTGGATTATCCCTTGAGCTCTTCTAAAGATTTCATTAAAATAATAAAAAAAAAATCTGTGGCTGCCTATAAATGCAACCTTTTATTCAAATACGTAACATTTACCCAAAATCAAAGGTCAAATTTTACCAGTTTTTTACAGCTGTCCTAGCAGGAACTGTTTCATTCACTATATATAAAATACTGCCATTAAGAGCAGACATTCAATTTCTTTGTGAAAAGGAGAATAACCCTTTATTACTTGCTTTAAAAAGTGCTAATAATTTAAAAATTTCTCAGTAACTTCTGATAGTCCACCTAAACCATTTCGTTGTTTCTAATTCCATTTTGAAGCAAAATTAGAGGTAGGCCAAGCTTTAACTCTTAGGAGAAATCAGGAGTCCCACTGTTTTCTTTGAATACTTTTAAATCATTAACACAGCATCCCTAAAACATACATCCCTACATAC